ACTAGCTAAGGTCAATTTTAAATTAAGTGTCCAAATCTAAGACAAAATCTTTCAAAAACGTGTCTTTAGACATACAAGTATCGAGTGCGGCAGTCCACATTTGTTTGAATGCAAGTGTGGATTATTTTACATTTTTTATGGCAGAAAGGTTGTCTTTTCGTGGTCATATTGAGCAAGAAAGTGTTGGGGTTGTTGAATATGTTGTCGCACTTCTTGCAACAGAAAGATCAAAACATTCCAGAGATCATGTGCTTGGTTAAAAGCACTAATGAAGTGTAAGCTTCTCTCCTTAGTTGAGAAGTTCATGAGAAATTTAGAATATTATGAGATGTCCATAATTTTCTATATGTGTGTAGTGAAGTATTGAATGTTATATAAAAGTATGGAATTCACTAAATTAAAACCGTGTGAGATTGAGTGGAAGACTCTCAAACATTCTAAAGAATTGTGGAGTTCTCTAGAGGTGCAGTGGTGTATATAAAATTTTAAGAAGCCTTGATGAGATCAGTATAGATAGGGGTTAAACTCCTCTTTTATATGAGAACCTTGAGGAGAGCGCTTAAGTCGATGAGAGTTAGACTCTTCTTGAGGAAAAAGAGTGAGAACCTTCTTATGAGAGAAGAAGATCCAAGGATGTCTCTTGATGAATGTGAGCTAGTGAAGAGGATTCTTTAGGGTGACACGCGGAGACAATCCAAAAGGCATTTCATAAGTGAAATGTGATCAGGTGAGGTAGAATGAAGTAATCTCATATACAAATAGTGAAGGGAGCTACTCGTTTAGTTGTAAGATACTTCATGTACATTTCAATTGTATAATAGAAAGTAATATTATCAAGTTGAGTCTTTGTATTATATGTGTGTAGAAGAGTGTACAGGAGTCATATGAGCTCATGCTACAAGAACATGTTAGTGGCCATGTTTATCCAATATGAAGTTAATGTGCAACATTTTGAACATATGAAAATTCGTAGGCTTGATTTACCAATGTTATAGAAATGAATCAAGTAGTATGTAGTGGACTATAATTTGTGCTGACGTATTAAATTTTTGATATTTTTATTATATTTTGATCAATTACACTAAACTTTTAGCCTTGAGTACCCCCCCCCCCCCCCCAACAAATATCTAGCTCTTCCACTGGGGTCAAATCATGTAATTTATCCTTGCATTTGTGTTTACAATAATTTAATTAATAGACAACGGACAACTTTGAGGCCATTTGACAACACTGTTTTTCGGCTAATCAGGCTAATCAACCAGTTTTTTCACCAAACATGTAACTTTTGTTTTCGCGTGCTGAATTGTGTAATAAGCAGAAAAAGTAAGGTTGAAGTTACTTTTCTAGCTGTATTGGCTGAAGTTACGGTAGATGACCATTTTAGCTATTTTTAAATATAATTTTTTCTTTATTTTATGAATAAAATATATTTTAAGAATATTTTTTTATTAAATCGGCAGAATTAGCCAATGCAGCCACTTCAGCCACAACTTAATAAATTTCAGCAGAATCAGCCAAATTAGCCGATTTTTTTCTGCCAAACGGGCTCTTTATGTTATGGCACATATGTCTCTTTCCTAGGCTAATATTGTAACGAGCCTAGCCCTCAAACGTATAAAGTCTGAAGACTAGGCACTGAACCTTAAGCTCTCCAAGAATAGAAGCTAACATTCGCACATTCTATAAGTAAAGAGAAGAGAGCCGCACATGTGTATTTGAACATCCGCTATGTAATACGGAGTAGCAAACATCATTCTCATATTTAATACATTGTTTCTTATTTTCTCTATTCGAATCTATTCTTCATTTGATTGTTGGAATCATGTTTTACATTTGGTATATATCAGAGCCGAGATGTGAAACAGATTGAATCTATCTGCACTTTCGAACCCTACATTGACGAAGAAGACCTGTTACTCGAAAAACTCTTTTGGAGGTTTGATCGATCTACCATTGATGGTTTACTATGACTTTGGGAAGATTTAAATCAAATCCAATACAAAATGGTCTGAAACCGTGTTTCTAAAGAAGTTTATAATCGTTGTTTTGTTGTTTGTTAGTTTTATGAAGAAGTTTCTCGAAGAAAAGTTTTTCTTGTTGATTTTATATAAGGACTATTTTATATTTGAACCTACCTCTATATATATAGTAGGTATCATACGAGAATATGATCTGATGGATAGTCTACCCGGGGGTATCTTATCCGAGTGGTTATTGCGGGAATAACTAGAGAGAAGTCAGAGCAAAATAGGAGGAGAGAGAGTCGATTTTATTAAATGGACTCAGCGTGTGGGAGTTGGGATGTGGTGTCGTTTACAAGGAGAAATGGGCTGCTATTTATAGCAGCAATAAATGCGATGAGAGCACACGTGTCAATAATCTAGCGGCCGAGGGGTCACGTCAATCGGGTGGCACTGGCCGTGGTACGTTCACCGCATTGAATGCGGTGGGTGGATGTGCCGTCGCATTAAATGCGGTGGTTGGCTGTCTCCAAAAGGAATCTTCGATGATTGAGAAGGTGGCCGAAGGCTTCCCCTTCGGCCGGGGGCTCTATGTAGCCGAAGGCATGTGAATGTCGAAGATCTCCCTGATGCCGAGGGCACCTTGTGTGCCGAAGGCTCCTGATAGCCGAGGGCTACCACTTTGCGCCGTTTTCTCCCAGTGACTTCCAGTGCCGATCCTACCAAAACTCGGGCCTGAGTCGAAATTAATAAAAGGCCCTATACATTGTTTATTTTTTTACTATAATTTTCTTTGAAATTGAAGATTAAACATCATACAAACGACTAATTAAATAAAAATTACATTACTGTCAAAGTATTCAAATGACTAATTAAGTACAACTCGCCAGAGAGTTTTAGCTGCAAAAGTATTAATTAACTCGACATTCTAGATGTTCAATAAATTCCTTCTAAACAGATATTTGGTAGGCTATAAATCCTTTTATGGCTTTAAATAGAAAAATATTAGAATTTTAGAAGCTAAGCAAAGAAGATGAAAGATGAACCTTGATGTTGATTGATTAAGTCTATAGATTGGAACAAGGGAATCGCAAATTAACCTTAGCTAAGGCCCTGTTGTCGATCGATTAGTCTAGGCCAGAACATAAGAATCGCAAATCGCCTTAAAACCCTTTTCCATTTGTACGTTGATGGCTATTCCACTTCTAAACTGGTCGAACAAAAGTAATTGAGGGACTTTTGGGTTTTCCTTTTTGAAGTACAACAGCGGAGTCAGCGGACAAAGGTTAGACAATGTTGGGAAATAGTTTTAATTCAAATAATTGTGGGAAACTAAAGAGTTGCTAGATACATGTAAAGACTTCCCAGAAAGTTCTATCTTTAATGTTCCAATTAAATTATGTTTCAATGCCTATTATATATAAAAGCATCCTCCTGTAATTCAAAAGCAGAGTTCCTGGGGATAGAATATGATTTCCTTCTCATATATCAGCACATAGTGTGTGTGAGTGTGATCTGATATCTCCAGGTTCTTTCTAACTGGTGCTCTAACAGGCAAAAAGGAAGCCCAATATGTAAATTTAATACATATATATACTAAAGAAATATCTAAAATTGTGGGCCCTAAAATTTTAACAATTTTTTGGACCCTGAGGCAAGTGCCTCATCCGCCTCAAGCACCGCACGGCTCTGGTGACTTCTTATGTTCAAAACTGGCTGCCCTGTGTAATTTGGAGCCTTCGGCCAAGGAGGCCAAAGGCACCCCAACGTGAATCCTGGGCTCCTCTGAGGTTTGGGGCGTTGTTTTTGGGCCTGAGATGTTCCCTGGACTTAATGGGCCCTTGTAGGAGAAGTAAGAGTCTATGGACCGGGGGATCCTGGGCCATATACTCCATCATGATCTAAGAAGACAAATGGGACTAAAAACTTATTTAATGTTAAACTGTTTTGCATGAATCCAAAACAAAATATGTCATATTTGCAGGAAGTAAAAATGTATTTAAGCCTGAGTTTATATGTTGTAACTTTTATTATATATACACGTAGTAGTAGCTGTATGAAAATAAAAAATTGGATCATTTGAAATAGCATTACACTCACTAAATTACGCCTAATCCTTACATTATATCTTATAGTGATCACCTTACCTGTAGTGACCGCCGCCCATAGTGATTTCTGCTGGCTCGCAGGCCCTGTGACCAGACGACAGTGACAGTGGCCACTGCCGGTTGGGTAGTGACCACTCGTTCAGCTTCATAAATTGCATTTCAGTCTATTCATTATTATTTGATCACTTTTTTTGTTTTATTTCAATTGTGGTCTTATACTTTTCCAATTACTACTCATAGATAGCATTGTTGTAATTTTTTCGAAGAAGTATTATGATTACGGAGTATTTTTTTGTAGTGCGGTGATTTTGTATTCACGTTTAAATAATCATTTCTTGTCTGCTTTTGGTTCTTTTTCATACTTAAAAATGGACACTTTGCCATGAATTTTTCCCAATACTTAAAAATGGACACTTTGCCTATAACTATAATTATAATTAGTGTAGTAGGTATAATTATTACAAATTTAATAATAATTATAATTATGAATATGATTATAATTATAATTTTTTTAAAATTATAACTAATTATAATTATATTTAAATTATATTTATAATTACAATTATAATAATTATAATTATTGAAAATATTCTAATCAGATCAGATCAGAAAGATTCAGATCAGATCAGAAGGATTCAAATCAGATCAGAAAGATTCAAATCAGATCAGACCAAATCAGAAAGATTCAGATCAGATCAAATTAGAACTTAATAAATTCAGATCAAGTGAAGAGAACATCTTTTTAGTCCGAAGAATTTGAAGTCCATCATATTATGGGGTGTTTGGAACTGATTCTGCTTCTGCTTCTTTTTTTAAAGTAGAAGCAGAATCAGAATCAGTTTTCAGAAACTGGTCAACCCTAACTTCTAAAAAATTGATTTTAGGAGTAAATTTGAGTATCAAAATCACTTCTCAACTTTCAATCTACTCACCAAAACATCCTAAAATACACCAGATCAAAATCAACACCATGCTAGAAAATTTATCTCAAAGCCTTCAACATCCTTGCCCAAATACACAGCATGACAGCACCCAAAAGTCTGCCTACAATGGCGACCAGTCCTAGCTTGTTGTCTTCCCTACCCATGAAAAATGCCGGCGCGACATCCGGCTCTTGTAAAGCTTCTTACATAATCAGACGCAACTGGCCGTGCTCATTCAACCTTCGCGATGTACTCGGAGTCAATCGCCTAGTCCACGACAGCTGCAGTTTCGGACGTAGCAGTGGCAGTGACATCTTGGGCCGGAGTCACACTACATGGCTCTACCGGTTCATTCTGTATGGTAATCCAAATAGCTATACCTCCGAGTCCGATAATGATGATGATGATGATATAAGCGCATTTCTACAGGTTTTTATTCAATCTTTATGTTCGTTTAATTTTATTTCGAGTGTTTGTGGCCCATAATTGCAGGTAATTGAACATGCCTTTAAGCTGTGGCCCTCTTTACTTTGAATTTTGTGGCTGATTTGTTTTAATTTTGCGCTTATCATAGTTCTATACTCTGTCTTTTCAGATTCTTCCGTGCGATTTGCGAGAAGCTCTGTTGTCTCACTCTAGGCAAGAACATTTACTCGAGGTGATCTGGTTGACTGACTTCAGGCTCACACCATCCTATGCTCTTAGATGCTAAATTTTTTAACTAAGATAAAAGCTGTGTACACATTTTTTGTACACTTTGTGTACACCCCCCAGTTATCTGTCCAATGCAGCTTCTTAAACAATTGCCTAGTTGGACAGACAACTAGGGGGTGTGTACACAAAACATGTACAAAAAGCATGTACACCAAGCTGCTCTCTTTAACTAAATAGTACAAGACCTTATTTTGTATCTTTATATGTGAACTATGTTAGACGAGATAACACATATTTTGTCTAATTTGATTAGACTCTTTGGACTTGGGTTGTTCGAGCTATAATTTATCTACTTGGCCCCTGTAAATCTAGGGCCTTTAAGCAAAGCATGCCTTCTGAAACCAGACCACATGAATTTGCTTTTCAATAAAGATTACTTTCTTTCTGGTCATGATAGCTCATTTTTCATTCCAATGGAACACAGGTGATATTGGATTTGGGCCGATTACCGCATGCACAGTACTTGGATGATTTTGGTAGGAAGTATTTGAGAGATACAGAAGTAAGTTCTGAAAATATTGACAGCTCTTACGATTACCGCATGTCCAGTTGTCTTATTTTATTACTCCCAGCTCTTACGTGCGTTTATTCCTACTTACTGTTGTCTAATTGATTTTATTGTAATGACTATCCATTTTTTGTATGGAACGGTATGAAATCAAGTAAATCAACATAAGGAGTTGACATTGAAGATAATGTATAGTATCTCCATTTAAAGCTGAACCTGTATGTTTCCAGGTATCATGTAAAGAACTTGAGTATGTTCAAAATGCAATCGGACAATTTGGAGGCGACAACAGAGCTGGAATTGAGGGTAGCTTGCATCGTGTGTCTTCTATTAAGAATAGGAAGGGGGAAATTATTGGGTTGACTTGCCGAGTTGGTAGAGCAGTTAGCGGTCAAATTGACATGGTCAGGGATTTGCTTGAGTTTGGTGAAAGCATCTTGTTTGTTGGAAGGTGAGTGAGCAACATACATGGTCATACTGAATGAACCCTTCAGGCTTCTGTTCTCACTATTGACAATATAGAGAATCAGACTGATACCGATTATTGAAAACTGAAACTGTGAAAAATACTCCACCTTAGGTCCCACAATTATTAGGGTAATATACATGATCATACTTTACAAACCCCTTTGGCATCTTATGCCACTCCAGTCTTGACACCATGGAGAACTGGACTGGTATCTGATCATTGAATGTGTGAGAAATATTCCATATTCAATATTTCAGTTCCACTTTTATTATATGACATTCTCTTTAGGCCCATGAGTATCATTTTTTTATTTTATTTTTCCTTTCTCGTTCTCCACTATTACAGATGTATACTTTGACCGTAGTAATAAAACTACAACAACAACAAGTCATCAATGTCCAAGCCTTAGTCCCAAAAGTTTTTGGGGTCGGCTAACATGAATCAATGCATGATATCGGAGCCAAAAGGTAAAGACAGACAAGAAAGATAAAAAGAGAAGGGAATTAGAGTTTGCACCCCAAATTATCATCTAATTTTGATATTGCACCCCGTTATCAAAATCATTAATATTTGCACCCAAAAATACAGTTTACTTCCCATTTGTCTTCCAAATTGGATTTTGTTCCCAATTCTTAATAGAGTTTTGAACTTTGGGGGTACAAATATTAGTGAATTTGAAAATGGGGTGCAAAATCCAATCCCTCATGACTAACATTTAGCATTTCATGGTCTTAACTGGCAAGAAACTATGAGGATGTAAACCAGCGTAAGTGAACAATAACTGACTGGCTCAATCAAGAAGACCAATAAGAGTCCTTTACCGTATTCGAACATGGGACCTTGCACTCACCATGTTAACTGCTTGACCAACCTACCCTTGCATATATATATGTTTATATATTCACCATATTTAAACAGTCTAATTTTATGAGCAATGCTAAAATGAAAAACACAACTGGTGATTGCATGGGAAAGATGAGCAGTTAGAAACTCTAACCTGGACATTGAAAATTATTTTCTATATGGGCCTCAACACTCAATTATATGTCTACACTGTAAAATGATGACTTTATGAGGCCTCATAATCTAAGAGTCCCTGTGCAATTGATTGCTCATTTTTAACATGCAAAGGGCACACTGCGTGCAGCAGTGTGGTTTTCTTGTCACTCTCACTACTTATATGGTAAAATTGTGTAGAAATTGGTCAGGTAAGTGATTAGAAAGATCATAGTTTTAAAAGAATCATCTATTGGATAAATTAAAAGTCAGTGACCTAGAGGGAAAATAGCCTTATAGTTGCGAGACGAAAGGTGGAATATTTTCTGGATTTGTGTTATATTTTAAGCAACTTTCCATCGAGCATCAATGCCCAGAAAAGAGAGCTCTTGTGCTCATTCCCCTTCTAAACTAATTATTTTGAGCTTAGCAGGCCTGGTGTGGGAAAAACTACAGTCATGAGAGATTTATCCCGTGTCTTGTCAGATGATCTTCATAAAAGAGTGGTTTGTTGAGTCCTTGTTCCTGACTCGAGATCTTCATCATTTACTTTTTTGCATTTCCATTTTCTTCAAATTGTGTTGGGTGCGGTGTGTATATGTTTGTGTGTTGTGGTAGGTCATTGTCGACAGCAGCAATGAAATTGGAGGTGAAGGAGATGTTCCACATCCAGCAATAGGGGGTGCAAGAAGACTGCAGGTTAAAAATCCTTACATGCAGCACCAAGTGATGTTAGAAGCAATTGAGAATCACATGCCTGAGGTGATAGTCATTGATGAGATTAGCACAGAAGCTGAGGTTCGCGCATGTCGTACAATTGCTGAGAGAGGAGTAATGCTTATAGGCACAGCTCATGGAAAGCAACTGGAGAATATCATTAAAAATTCAACTTTGTCTGATTTGGTTTGTATATAACTTTGAAAGATTCATAATTTCCATTTGCATTTGTCACGAGTTATTGTCGTCTGTATTTCGTTTGAGTAGTTTTTATTTTACCCAAACGTACTGGTCATTGTCTTTTGAGCCAAGTTGAGCATAGATTATATAGCTGATTATGACAGATACTCTATATGGCTATATTGATGTATCTTTGTTCTGAAACTTTGCAGATTGGAGGACTAGAATCTGTGACCATCAGTGATCAGGAAGCTCAAGCAAGGAATTGCAGAAAAAGTGTTCTTGAGAGGAAAACTCCACCAACATTTCCCTTCCTTGTCGAAATAAGGGAGAGGCACTACTGGATCGTGCATCGGGTTAGTTGATATTAATGCAATATAGCACATTGATGGAAACCATTCTCATATGATACATCCACTTTTGTTTTCTTGATTGTGCAGACTGAGAAAAGTGTGGATGCTTTTCTTTGTGGAAAAAAACCAATTGTTGAGGTATTGCATTCAATGATGCTAGTATTTATTGTAGGAACCAACCTAAAAGTTTGCTAATATAAGTTTCAATCGTGTATTCGTGTGATTGATGTCATTGTCTGCTTTGGAGTTTGGACCCAGTAGCTAAACATTTACTAACATAAATTCCACAGCTCGATCATGCTAAATTTGTGCTTAGGGTGAGTGGAGGTACTTGTTTTTCATTTTTCTTAACCCATTGATTAAAGATAGGCTTCATACATAAATACTCATATGCCTTAAGGTGCTTATGAAATTAATATGATATTTGTAATACCTAAGTATCAAGATTGGTTCAATAGCGTCTACCAACTTCCTTTGATTGGCCATGTTATCTGTCCTTAAGAGAGGGGGGGGGGGGGCTTAGGGGCTGTGTGTAGTAGCTGTTTTTTTGCGTCAGTTGACTTTCTGTAACTATTTTGTCTTGAAATGTGGATTTAATAGGTAAGGAAGAGAGATAAGCAATTCAAAGTTGTGATTGAGAGATGGAAAACAGATGATTGAATCTCTGCTGTTTTTACTCAAGCTGGACTGGTCATGAGTTCCTATGGTCGTCTCATTCATTCGACTTTTGTGGGTTACACCCTATGGAGTATAGTATCTCATAAACTCATGCCTGGATTGATGATAGCCTCAAAGGTAACTTTGTATTTAATTCTAATTCATTCTTTCAATAATAAACACTTCCCCATTTTAATTTTAATTTTTAAATTTTACATCATTACATGGTCCCAGAAAATTATCATCCCTTCTCCCTGCCGTTCTCATATCACACACCACTCTAGGCACAATATGCCATTCATCTGGAGGTAATTTTACCTTTCTGATACAATGCTCATTAAAAATAAGTGACACTCATTTTTACATTTGTTGAATGCTCATTGAATATGACAGTACATCTAGGAGGCCGTTTGGAACCACTGTTTTTTGGCTTATCACATTTTCACCAAACACGTAACTTTTACTTTCACGCGCTAAATTGTGTAACAAGCATAAAAAGTAAGGTTGGAGTTACCTTTCTGGCTGTTTTGGCTGAAGTTACTGTAGATGATCATTTTAGCTATTTTTACATATAATTTTTTCTTTATTTAATTAATAAAATATATTTTATAAATATTTTTTTCTTAAATCAGCAGAATAAGCCAATGTAGCCACTTCAGTCAGAACTTCATACATTTCAGCAGAATAAGCCAAATCAGCCGATTTTCGTTCTACCAAACAGGCTCTAGATGTAGCATATACACTCTCCTTTTAATTCTCTGGCTTTCTTCTCCTCACTTCTCCATCTGCACAGCTCTCAGCATAAGCAATGGTGACAATTCTTCAGCAGCACCACCATTTCTCTTCGCTTCTGGAAAACATTCCTCCATGGGTGTCCAAAGCTTCCATCATTGGCTCTTCTTCAGTTTGACAAGTGGAATTGGAGGCTATTGCTAGAGTAATGGACTGGACTGTCAAGACAGGCGTACAAGCTTTTAGCTTTACTGTTGAATTGGACTCCTTTGCTCCAATCCTCCACCTAAAAGGTTCTATGTAACCATTTGTTGCGATTCAATAGAAGTTCTTCGTTGTTTCGGAATATGTATTTTTAAATTATATATATATATATATATATATATATATATATAGATTTTGGTTCAGGTGAGAAATGCATCTAATGTGAGAAATGAGAATGAATCTCAGCCATTGGATTTACGAAGTTGCGCTAAAATTGACTTTATGTTGCAGTAATATTTAAATTTTGCACATGTTGCACTAAAACTGTTTCATGTTGCACTAATATTTGACGGCGTTGCACCAAAATAGCTTCATGTTGCACTAGACACGTGTAATACGGATTTTTCAGAAGTATTTACAGAAATGTCACTGTGCTAGATTGCATATTTCAGTGCATCATGAAGTGTCTTTTATTGCAATTTAGTCGAATCCAATGGCTGAGATTCATTCTCATTTCTCACCCAAAGGGTTCTTCTCACTTGAACCTTACTCTATATATATATATATTATACGTGTATATATATATATATATATATATATATATATATATATATATATATATATATTATACGTAGTATATTATATGCATATAGCTAGAATCAAATAAGAACATGATCTAAGAAGATAAATCATAAATGAAAATGATTTTGGACTGCTGAGTTTGGATATCGTGCATTATGTAAAACAGAAATGTGCACCATCATAAATTATAAATTAGAAAATGTGCATTTGAACTGTGCATTATTTTAACCACAAATGTGCACATCCGAACTTGGCATTATTTTGACCATAAATGTGGACGACCTTGAACAATAATGTGCATCATTTTGGATCATTCTCATTTCTCATGGGAAGAAGTGTTTTCACCAGAACTGAACATTATGTGTGTGTGTATAACTTTCACATTATATTAAGTAAAAATACTTCGTGTAAATGATGTTACATTCAATGTGATGTAAATTCTATGTGAAAATATGTGTTTTTGTTAAGATAATATGTACATCCAGTGTGATGTAGATAATATGTGTTTATATATATGATGTAAATACGTGTGAAAATATGTGATTATACTATTGTGTTGTTACTATAAACAATTTAGATTTGGTGTTAATGATATCAAGTGTTGTAAATCATGTAATAAATGTGTAAGTGTTGTGTTATTGATTGATATAAATGTTATATGTTCGTTGTAAATGATCTTATAATTAATGTAAAATATGCAAATGTGGTATACTTTTGTATAAAAAATGAAAACTGGAGATCTTGGGTTGATTTAGAATGACTTTGGTAAAAAATGGCATACTGCATTATTCAAATAGCAAATGAAAGGTTAGAATGTTAGATACATCATCTTAAATGTTTAAACATTTAATTTATCTTCGTAAGTCTTAACAGTTAACACCGTGCACTTGCAAAATTTGAGTCTAGTTCAAACTTCAAAGTCTTCGAACCCCATCAAAATTTGGTGCATTTGACTTCTTGTTCCCTATTTACGGAGTATTTTTTATGGTCAATTCATTTGCCTTTATGGAATGAGAAAAGAAAACGGCATTCTCTGTTTGAAAATTGAAATACGTCAAAGGGAAGTTAAAATGATTTCCCAAATATGATCATTTGCACCAACCACGTCCAAAAGCATCTTCCATCATGAGATATTTATTGTAGAATGTAGACGTGACCAACACTTGGCCTAAATTTTCATGTCCTCTCTCTTTCCATGGCACCTACTAGTTAAGGAAGATCACTAATTAATTAAACAAGACATTAACCTAAATCAATAGTATGCCACATGCTAAATAATTATCTGTCAAATTAACACCCCATGGTCCCACCTCCTACACCTTACCGTTGTCGGAGTTCATGGAGCAAAGAGCCAGTAATAAATGACTGAATAGCATTGCCATAACTGTCATGGAGCTGCTGCCAGTGAAGGAATGATTTCCCAGTATCTATAATGTAAAAAAAGTAAATACTCCCTCCGTCCCGAAAACAACCTCCCGGTTTGACCTACACACATATTTAGAAAATAAATTTGACTTTACTGTAGAATGCACTGTTTGACACTGTTTAAACACTATTTGGCACTGTTTAAACACTGTTTGACACTGTTTGTCACTGTTTATCACTTTTTTGATGTAGATAATTTGCCAAATAAGGAAAGTATTGAAGTGAGAAATTAATTTTGGGACATCCATTTAAGGAAAGTGGGAAGTTGTTTTTGGGATGGAGGGAGTAATAAATAAGAAACCCCTAAAGGTAAAACCGTAAAACCAATTGGAACTTTGGGGTAGATAAAATTGTGCTCAAATGGGAGCGGATCATTTATTCATGGGAAAGTTCCCGAAATAGGACTAAAAAAGTTTGAAAATTCCAAAATAGGACTGTCATGTTTTTATTCCCAAAATAGGACTAATTACTGACAAGTTTGGAAAATACCTCCATGTTTGAAGTCTGGTACTGCCAAAACATGGCAGTAATTAGTCCTATTTTGGAAATAAAAACATGGAAGTCCTATTTTGGAATTTTCAAACTTTTTTAGTCCTATTTCGGGTAATGTTACATAAACACCCCAATATAGTTACATAAACACCCCAAAACAAATAGTAGCTCTCCCCTCCCTTGTTCCCAAGTGCCTCTTGAATTATTTGTAATACATATGAAAAATAAAACACAACATAATGTACATTAAAAATCATTCTCTCACTAAAAACAAATTTAGTCTTTCTCGGGCCCCCCACACACTATGTGAGTGATATTCGTCTGTTCTATGGGCTTGTTACTTTTTTTGTCCTCTACTTTTTTTTGGATAAACGGTAAATTTATAGCTATATGAACAGGTTACATAGTAAAAGGGGCATACCCCAGTTTTACATCAGACCAATTCAATCAAATTCTGTCAATACTAGACTACAAAGCAACAAAAACAAGCACTTCAATATGCTTATTCAACCCCGGATCAGCAAACACACCAGCACAAGTTAATACTCTCAAAGAAGCTTCACCCAGCAAAACACTCATTTAAAAAGTCAAGCTAAGATTTAAAAACCCCACCCAAACAGACTAATAAAAAGCAGAAGCAAAAGACCAACCGCAGAATACCCAAAAATCATTCCCCGGATACTATGTCAAAAAATCACCATTTCCTTGGGATAAAGTTTATACAAAATTTTATAGCAGCCGATCTTAATTTGTTTGATCACTTCAAGCGGTGTAGTAATGGTATCTGCAAATAACCCCTGGTTCCTTGCTTTCCAGATTGTGTATACCGTGCAGCTCAAAGCAATTCTAACGGCTTTACTCATCAGTCGTGCCCCTCTATAGTCTTTTCTAAAAATCATCACCACACGGTTCAGAGAAGTCGCCGGACGTCTAACTCCCAGCCATATGCAAATATTTTTCCAAATACCACCAGTCACCAGACATTTGAAAAGAGGTGATTGCCTGTCTCTAGTTGTCCAGAGCACATTGAGCATATCTTATCCCCTCCCAGGTAGTACAAGTTATCAGCAGTGGCCAATTTGTTTCTGAAACAAAGCCAAAGGGTAAAAGAGAACCTAAGGGGTATGTAGCTCTTCCAAATGAACTTCATCCAAGGCTTGGAGACACCTCTTACTCTAAGTAGATCATAAATCCCAGATGGATTAATTTTCCCATTAACACATAGTGCTCCCAGGTGATCTAGCAGTTTCTGCTTATCACTAAACTTTTCAAGCAAACTATCTCTGATTCTAGCTAGTTGCTTAAGCAAAGGTGAGGCCCCCTTTTTGGGAACCCACTCCCAGATCGAAAGAGTGTTTAAATATACCCCCTGAAACCATTTAATCCAGAGAGCATCCTTCTTAGAGTGTATATAAGTATATTCCATAGAGTCTTTGCTAATAAAGCATCATTCCAGATTTTAGGATCCTTCAGTCCCAAGCCCCCTTCTTCCTTCGGCTTACAAATATCACACCAAGCTACTTTAGCTCTTTTCCCATCCCACAAGAACTTCCTACACGTAGTAATAATTCTATTGATGACAGTGGCGGGCATAGAGAAGGATTGCAACCAGTAAGAATATACTCCCTGGACCACTGCCCTAATAAGTTCAATTCTCCCTGCATACGACATTGTTTTAGACTTCCATTTCGTCATGTATCCTTCGATTCTTTCAATAAGAGGGGCAAATTGAGCAACTGAGACCCTTAAAGGAGCTAAGGGAATACCTAGGTACCTTACCGGGAAGGTACCTTCTTTGAAACCCGTGGATAGAGTAATTTCCTCCTTTTCAAGTCCATAGACCCCTACAATGAATACTTCAGACTTAGCCAAACTTACACCAAGTCCAGAAACCTCTCTAAACTCTTCCATGCAGTTTAACAAAATCTTAACAGACGCCAAGTCACCTCTAGCAAATAACATCAAGTCATCAGCAAAAATAAGATGTGTGATGGACCCAGATAGAGGTAAAAGTCTAGAGGGGGTGGGTGAATAGACTTTTAAAGCATTTTCAACTTTTAAAGAATTTCCCTCATAGATATGATGATCAGTAATCTTTTGGGAGATTAAGGATCGCAACGGAAGTCTTGACCTATATATATATATATATATATATAACAACCTTCTGTTAGTTAGTAGACAAGGGGAAGGCTGAGTAAGGTAAAATAAGTGTTTCTTATTTTGGGAGATAGAGGAGCTAGGTGGCAGAGATGCTTTGGACAGAAGGTCTCAATTAGAATACCTTGGTGAGATGTTCTGATATCTTCTTGACAGAACCTTACCTGAGGTCTTCTGTTGACCTTGGAACAGAATCCCTCACAAGGTCTTCTGTCGAACTTATAAGATAGCTTAGAGACTTCTGTTTGAAAGAGGAGTTCTTTGTGGAAGATGAAGAATACTCCTAGAGAAAAGGGGATGTCTTTGGAAGAGAGTATAAACGAGTAGTAAGCTTATCAGAGAGGTGATTTGGTGTGTGCTTTGTTGACTGAAAAAGAATCAACACACAATATATCCTGGTAGAGGTGGTGTAATCCTCCTACATCCAGTCCCACCCTCTTTCAGATGGATTTCCACTAAAGTATTAAGCCCAATACGCTTAGTGCCCGTCTGGCTGTTATCATCCAACTAGCTCAGACTTGAAGGTGTTTTATAAGGAGTACACACCACTCCAAGTTACTCAGTCCTTAGATTTTCTCAATTGATCAAGTGGGGATCAAAAGGTACTCTGTTCTAATCTACCACACTTAGGACTAGATAACACTGTCCTTCTAAGTGTTTACAACATTTTCAAAAGTAATAAAGTTTCTAGCCTCCAACTAATAACTAAACTTCCAGGATTTGACAATGAGTGTTCTGACTGGGAAGTTTAGTGAAGCATGAGTCTAAACAGAGAGCCGAGTTTAAATGAGCACTTTCTTTAATGCTAGGTTTCTCTTTGAATGCTTGATATAATTTCTCTGTTTAGAAGACTCTCAAAAGCTTGAATATGAACTCATGCTTGTGCCTATATTTATAGGCATCTCCGGTTGATTAATCTCCTCCGTTGGTTGAGAGGATTCAATCTTTGACGTCGAAAGAATTGTACTTTCGTCTTCTTGTGTTGGAGCAGATTATCTTCTTCAGACGCAATTGGATCAATTTGCAAGTAGGATATGTGAACCCATACCTTAGGTCTTGCACGCACTATTCACCTACTTGTAGGTTTTGGCTTCTCATGCAACTCTGTATGTGTAGTGTCTCGTGACTATATAGATATAGTGGACTTAATAAATTTGTAACTTTAGTCTTTCTGTATCAAATAATTTTGTACTGGTAGGATTTAAATATCCTTTTAAGGTAAAGGAAAATTACCTTATTGCTTTTTATATTTCCAGTACAATTTATTTGATAAAAAAAGTGTACATGTAAAATTGGTCACAATTTTATTAGTGACAAGAATAATTCTATAACAAATAAAAACATACTGGTTGGATTTGAATATCCTTGTAAGCTAGAATTTTACCTTATTGCATTTTATACTTCCAGTATATTTAATTTGACATAAAATTGTACATTTTAAATCTTGTCACTTTACATTGTATTTTTAGTACCTTTTTTTTTGTTTATGGTACGGTGAATACTCTATCCAATTTTGGAGCACACTACAGTTCACATAATGAGTATACAATTTTGAATAGAAAATCTAAACACAAAAGGAGGATGGCATCATCAAAACTATTTCTTACAACAATCAAAGTCTGAGGGACCTAACAATTTCCCCATTTTTGATGATGCCAAAAACTAGAATCTAACATTTTAACTGTAGCAAAATAAAACATTGAAGCTCTAGTGTTAGATTCTATTTTCCCCCTTTTGGCAGCAGCTAACACGTAGGCTAGTTTTGTCCCCTAGACGATTCGCCGGCACCCAGTTTTCTTTTTCTTCGAGTTCTTTTGAGTTGGTCTAGTTTTTCGTCGTAGACCTTCTCAATGAACTCCTGAGATAGAGCTTCTTCCATAGAGTGTGCTCCCAGCCAGTTGAGAGCAAAGGCTTCTTCTTCTTGGACGAGTGGTGCCATAAGTAGAAGTTGGTTGATTGGAGCGAGTCTCCAGTGCTTCCACTTTAGGACCCTTTGTCTCTCTTTGTCAAGAGAATCTTGTCATAGGTGTAGTTCATCCATGATTCGAGATCACTGATGAAGTCTTCTCTTCTTTGGACATTAGTTGTGGCTGAAGCATCGTCTTGAGGTGTTGGAGGTGCTAGGGAGAGATTTAGGTTAAGTCTGTGTGGTGCCATTGGAGTTTTTTGAAGAGAGAGGCTTTGGAAGAGAATTGTGTAGCCAAAAAAGATGTTTGTAATTCGAGGATTAACAAGGATATTTATACTTTCATGCATCGTTTGAGATTCTTGGTTGAGAATTCGAAGCGTATTAATGAAATTACGGCTTGATGTTCTTTTCAAGACTACAATCAGCGTAGATAAAAGAGAGAAAAATTGGTTGGATGAACTTACCAATTTAATGATGCTGCTTCCTAAGACTGTGTTTGATCACCATGTGTCGTATTTGTAGATTGCATGCAGACGTAAATTCCTCGTATTAACTCAATTGATTTCTTTTCAGAGATCTTTGTTGGAGAAGTTGATTATTTGACGCATGGACTAGGATCAACAGAGCCTTCTGCTTGGAGTAGCCTTCTGTCACAACTTTAAGATCCTTTGTTTGAGGTAGCCTTCTGTCACAGCTTTGAGATCCTCTGTTTGGGGTAGCCTTCTGTCACAGCTTTGAGATCCTTTGTTTGAGGTAGCCTTCTGTCACAGCTTTGAGATCTTCTGTATGCGGACCATAGAGCTTCATTCCCTTTTTGATTTCCTTCTTTCTTCAGACCTTTATGCTTCACTCCTTTTCTTTGAGTACTTGTTCCCCCTTAGGAGTTCCTTTTTGGAAATTCCCCCTCAATTGAAGCTTTTGGGAATTCCTTTCTTGGCATGGATTTCCTTGTGTGGAATTCCCCCTGAGTTAATGCAGAATTATTCTCTAAGTTGATCAAGATCATCAAGCATTCCAAGCTCTTGTCTTAGAGTATTGAATCTTGCTTCATTTAAGGGTTTGGTGAAGATGTCAGCAAGCTGCTTTTCTGTGGGGATGTACTATAGTTTGATGGTTTTCTTCACAACATGCTCTCTGATGAAGTGATGCCTGATCACAATATGCTTGGTTCTTGAATGAAATACTGGATTATGGGTTATACCAATAGCATTTGTGTTATCACACAGAATGCTAACCTCTTTTGTTTCCTCACCATAGTCCTTCAATTGCTGTTTCATCCAGAGTATTTGTGCACAGCAGCTCTCTGCTGCTATATACTCTGCTTCAGCTGTGCTTGTTGCAATTGAGTTTTGTTTCTTGCTGAACCATGAGACAAGTCTTCCTCCCACCATTTGACATGTTCCAGAGGTGCTTTTCCTATCAATTTTGCATCCAGCAAAGTTTGAGTCTGAGTATCCACATAGATCAAATTCTCCATTAGTTGGATACCATAACCCAGAGTTAGGATTTCCTTTGAGATTTCTCAAGATCTTCTTTGCTGCTAGAAGATGGCTTTCTTTTGGGCTTAGATTGATACCTTGCACATACCCCAACTGAGTAGGATATATGTGGCCTACTTGTGGTGAGATATAGCAAAGAACCAATCAGTCCTCTGTATAGTGTAAGATCTATATCTTTACCATCTTTATCTGGAGTTAGTCCTTGTGATGTGTTCATGGGGATCTTTACAGTAGACTTTTTTTCAACCTTGAATTTCTTCATGAGATCTCTTGTGTATTTTGCTTGGTTGATGAAGATACCTTGTGGAGTCTGCTTCACCTATAGTCCTAGGAAATAGTTCAACTCTCTCATCATGCTCATTTCAAACTTGTTTTGCATGAGAGTTGAAAATTTCTTACATAGTGCTTGATTTGAACTTCCAAAGATTGTGTCATCCACATAAATTTGAACAAAGCAGTATGTGTGGACCTTCTTCAATTTTGAACAGTGTTTTGTCTACTTTGCCTTTAGTGAATCCATTATTCACTAGATATTATCACCGGTTGAATGAGTGTCGATATCGTGTATATTGGAAGGCAAAGGATCACGCAATTCAGTTAAATAATTTAGAAGAACAGAATCAACGACAGAAAATTCCATTGAACAGAGATGAGAAAAATCGCAGTAGAGGAGAGTTTGTTAAACAGCGGAGAACAAAATCACAGTAGAGAATAGTTCGTTGAGCTGCGGAGAAGAAAAGCAACTGTGAACCTAATTATTACTAAACTAAACGACACCGTTTGGGATCGGCACACCATGTGCAAGGTGGACCGATCCCGCAGTATAATTTGCGTATTAATTTGAATACCGGTAGTTGACCGGCTAAACAGATGATTTGAATGTTTTTTTGAATGTTGGAGGATTCAATTGTGATTGAATAGTATTAGAACATAATTGACTTTTTGAATATAGTATATGGACTAGTTTGGTCAGTTTGGCAATACATTTTTAAAGAGTAAAGGATCAGTTTGGTCCTCGAAGTTGCAAAAAAGGCGTCAAATAAGTCCTTATATAGAAGATTCTGTCCGAACGTGCCATTTGAGGTGGCTCCCGGTGGAATTTTGTGATGATTTTTTTTGAGCATCTTATTCATCAAGTCTAGTTTACTCATACCAAATTTCAGCTAAAAATTCAATGGGGAAGACATTCAAATGAATTCTTGAAGATAACAGCGATTTTAACGACACAGTTATCTTCAAGAATTGATTTGAATGTCTTCCCCATTGAATTTTTATCTGAAATTTGGTATGAGTAAAGTAGACATAATGAATAAGATGCTCAAAAAATTGCATCAAAAAATTCCACCGGGAGCTACCTCAAATGACACGTCCGGACAGAATCTTATATATAAGGACTTATTTAACCCTTTTTTGCAACTTCGAGGACCAAACTAACCCTTTTCCCAAACTCCCCATTTTTTAATAATTCATTCATGCTTCCACTGTAGATGCTCTAAGCCGTATACTTTGATCTAACAATTGAAAAATGGGGCGCCAAGGCAAAGCGGATATGGGATCCATCTCCATTGCTTGCTTACTTTTCCTTTACTGCTCGTACCAATTCGCCTCTGTCTACGGGGCGGAACCCGGAATGAGCTCGACCCGTGTTGTCTTTCAGGTTCCTGTTCTGTTTCTAATTGCGGAAATTCATTGTTGAATAAACAAGATGATATGAATTGTTTGATTTGAATGCAGACAAACTACGGGGATATTGAATTTGGGTTTTTCCCTACTGTCGCCCCAAAAACAGTAGAGCACATCTTCAAACTTGTCCGCCTGGGTTGCTTCAATACCAATCACTTCTTCCGGGTATTTACCAACAGTACAGATATTTCAATTCTTGGTTACCACAACTATTGCACATTGAGCATTGGCTGATCGGAAAGTACTGCCACTTGGCTACAGGTAGATAAGGGGTTTGTTGCACAGGTGGCAGATGTTGTTGGAGGAAGAACTGTGGCTTTGAATGAAGAACAGCGGGAAATAGCCGAAATGACCATTAAAGGAGAGTTCAGTGATGTCAAGCATGTAAGAGGAATTCTTTCTATGGGAAGGTAAATACTTTCTCTGGTTGATTTGCTTATTTTGCTCATGTGCTTTATGCTATTCAACAGATGCTTTTTTGAATCATGTAATCATGTTCTATGTGTAGCTGTGTAAGTATATGATCTAATCATGCCGAGATTCTCAAAATAATTCTTTATTATACATACAGGAATTCATGGTAAAAAGCAAAAGTGGGTACCTTGATATTTCTCAACCAAACCAAACACATTATGGCATTATATCTATATATATGAGTTATCTCTCAATAATGAGATTAAGGAAGATTGATGGTGCCTATTATGTTTTATACTTTTATATGTTGGAGAGCAACCTACTTTGTTTAATCTGAATTATGAGATTACAGAGTTCTTTATATATTTCTGTGTCAGTATATTGGGGCTCCCATTAAAACAGTGAGACACCTAATATGAACTTTTCCCTTTAAGCACATACCATAATAGAATTCTTAGGTCTTTCTACTTAGATCACTTAAAGACCAAGCAACTAATAAGCCCAGTGATTTATTCACTCAAATATAAGTTTGACTGTTACCCCACCGTAGGTGGGAGACTTTGCGGCACTGGGGTAATGTTGTTGTTGTAAATATAAGTTCAACTATTGAAGTATAATTTCACATATATACCACGTCTTACTCTAAGTACTAAAAATGCTTCATGTGCTGCAAAATAGAGCTGTCAAACGGGCCAATCCGACCCGGCCCGTAACGGGTTATGCTTTATGTGGGTTGGGTCGGGCCAACTTGTTTAATGACGGGCCAGAAGTTTTACAACCCTAACCCAACCCACCTAACCCGTGGGTTAAACGGGTTGGCCCGCGGGCCAACGTAAAAAAATATATAACACAAAATTCTTTAAAATTTTTTTACCAAAAAGTATATATTTATATTAGTAAGTTTAATTGAATAATATTAAATACTAGTTATAATATTAAATACAAAGGAAATATAAGAAATCAAAATACTAAAAATTCAATACTTGTTAAGTTTAATTGAATAATATTAAATAATAGTTATACGAGAATTTGAAAACTATAAGAAGGTATGCGACAAAAATACTTAATGTATAAAAATAAAGATCTACATAAACCTTTTGATTGATTATTTGTAAATAATGTCTACTAATTGTTAAATATTTTATTTAACTTCACATAAAATACCTTTTTAACATTTTGTTTGAATATTTATTATAGAAATAAATATTGTTTTGCCATGGTTGTAATTCTGTAATTGTAATTATAATAATATTGGTAGTAATAGAACAACATTTAAGATAATAAAATTCAAAATTATATTTTTGTATTTTGGCCCGCCGGCCAACCCGCAACCCGGTGGGTCAACCCACTTAAACCCGCAACCCGCGTGGGTTGACCCACGAAACCCGCGAACTAAATGGGTTAGCCCTAACCCACCAATAAATGGGTTTAAACGGGTCAGCCCGCGGGTTTCGACCCATTTTGACGGCTCTATTGCAAAATATTGATGCATTTGGACAACTGAAAAATCTTTCAATCATGCATAAGTTTTAACTTGGCTTCTGAGTTAGTGGTTTTCACTCACTTGGACTAAACCTTTTCAACCATTTTATTTAGATATTCTGATCCTGATAGCGCATCCTCATCATTTTCTATGCTTCTTGGAGATGCGCCTCACCTTGATGGCCAAGTAAGCCTGTAAGATGGTGAAGTTAATCATGTGGTGATATTTTTAGATTCAAATAACACACGATAGTTACATCATGGCTCTATTTAGTATGCAGTGTTCGGAAAAGTCACTAAGGGGGATGAAACATTGAGAAAGCTTGAACAGATACCAACTCGACGTGAAGGGATCTTTGTAATGGTAGTATTCCATAATTTTAATTTTCTTCCCCGCTCCTTTCCTTTTCATGCCTTTTCTAGGATGTATTACATCTTTGTCTTGCTTGAGAGGGGGCAATCATCCTAACTAATGTGTAGTTTACTCATTTTGAAGGAAGAGTTATATTGCTTGAAACTTCCTCTAGCCTCTAAGCCTTATTTTTATGACACGTGCTTTCTAGTTCTCGTAGAAAATTGGAAGTTTTTTAGAAGACTTCTAACATGTCTACATGTAACAGATGTACTTACAAAAAATGGAAGGAAAATAGACAATGATTGATGTATCTATTATTTCACCATCTTGATAGTATGAGGCACAACTTGATGCACAATTTGGATGGAGCAGTGTTTTCTATTAGGGACGATGAAAGCACATAACATACAGTGATTCCAGCTACCATAATGTACAATATAACATGATAATCAATTGTTGGATTTAAAGTTTTTCCAAGATGTTGCTTTTATCTTTTGCTTGTGGTATATGATGTATATCCCATAGAGGCACTTCCAGTAAATCTTTGACTTAGTTGTATCCTCTCGATTACAATGGATCACTCACGCTAATTCCCTTTTGGATGACATTTGGAGTCTCATTTTTAGATTATTTTGACACCACTGGTTTCCACTTTACTAACTATTCTTGTCTATCCATGATTTTATTTTTGTAGCCAACAGAGCGCATCACAATTCTCTCAACATACTACTATGGTGAGGCTTTTGTATATATTTATGTTGGTCCCTCTTTAATTATTCATCGATATAAACATAAATTTCATTCGCTAGAAAAATAAGATGTTGAATCTCAACACATGAAGCATATATTCTCTCAAATTCATTTATAATTGTCCATATTCATATATTCTCTCAAATTCAATCCGAGTTCCAACTTCAAGTTATTTCTAGTTTTAAGTCCAATTTTGTACAAGTATTCAAGAGACGTTTTTGTTTCACATCAAGTTCAAATTTCAAGTTCTTTGTTCATGTTCAGTGAAAGTGGAAGTAAAAAGGCACAAAACAGGCCTCCTTGATGTGTTAGGTGGTGAGGACCATTGCTTCTCAGCACCTTGAGGAAATGGGAATGCGAAGTGGGTAATTAATAAAATCATCGATGCGCCGAATACCTGAAGGTAGTTACAGAAGCAAACATCGATCAAGAAGAATTTCGGTTTCCAACTAAAGATGTCTCTTTAGTTGGAGAATTGAAAAATATCTTTTACAGTGTTCTGCCATGGTGGCAGAACAAATTGAAGACAAAGTGTCATGGGATATTATATTACTTCGGATTTGATTGAATTATATTATAGATTTATAGTTTTAATAGTTTTTCCTCATAATGTATTTGCCTTTTGACGAGAGCTCATGAAGTGTAATATTTAGAGTATGGTGTATTCTGTTTGAAAGTTAGAAAGACCTAATGTAGGCATCTTCTTATTCTGGTTCTTAGGTTAAGCCATAAATATAATATCACACTTTCCTTGTCAAGACAATTGTACAGTGAAACAAGAGTCGATATTTCATCCGAGTCTCTAAAGTGAGAATATTCATGTTTTGAGCTTATAGAAGAAGCATGGACAATTATAAGTTATACTTCTTGGTTCTGATGTGGCATGCTGTTTTACTCGTTTGCTTTAGATACTGAGATGGAATCTTGTGAGCAAGAGAGGTCCTTGTTGAGAAGAAAACTTGCTGCCTCAGCTGTTGAAATTGAAAGACAGGTGATTGTGTTGTACATTTGTATTTTGTGCAATAGTAATGTATGAAAGCTCATCGTTTTAACAAGCAATCCATTTCCCTTTTGCAGAGAATGAAATGTTTTCCTTAATGCAGTGGATGGTGAGGTCAGGCATTGAACCAGTTTCACTCATTTCCATGTGTTTTTGAATATAATTATCTGCCTTGAATATATCAAGCACTTCTGTTCTCATCCTCTACTTGTGAATGATCTCAACCTAACCATTCTGGCATTGTCCAAGGGCTTATATGAAACCTCAGCTGTATAACCATCATCTACAATATGTATTCAGTACTGCAAATACTGTCTCCATATTTCTGTATTAATTATCAGTGTCCTAGACTTTCAGTACTGCAAAATCTGGTGTGCACCAGATGCTTAATGTGTAGGGAGTAGGGACTTGTTTTAAATGTAGCCCCATACGTACTTGAGGGCAGCTCATATTTCCCATATATTTAATGTGTTCAAATGCAGTCCAATATCATCATCCTCAAAATGTGATGTAACACATACTTTTTTATTCTTATAAGACTTCCAGAAAGTATCTAGGCTTAACACCGTATGTTTCCTCATGAAATGAAAAATAGTTCGAGGATACATTTAAGGGAAAACTGTCAAATAGGTCCTCAAACTTTCATAAAAATGTCAATTAAATCCTTCTATAGGAGGTTCTGTCCGGCTGTCGCGATTTGGGGCAGTTCCTGGTGGAATTTTTTGATGAAATTTTTTGAGCATCTTATTCACCAAGTCTAGTTTAGTCATACCAAATTTCAGCTAAAAATTCAATCAGTAACACATTCAAATTAATTCTTAAAGATAACTGCGCATTTTTGCGTTCTCGAATTAATTTGAATGCGCTCCCGATTAAATTTTTAGCTGAAATTTGGTATGAGTAAACTAGACTTGATGAATAAGATGCTAAAAAATTTTCATCAAAAAATTCTACCGAGAACCGTCCCAAATCGCAACGACCGGACAGTCTCCTATAGAAGGACTTAATTGACTTTTTTATGAAAGTTTGAGGACCTATTTGACAGTTTTCCCTACATTTAAATTGAACATAAAAGATTCCTATGTTGTACACATTCATAGGGTGATAAAAATTAGACATGTGATCATCAACCAATGAATATGAGCACATAGGAATATCTCACTATAATTTCCAGTTTGAATGTCTGCCTAGAGTTACTGCTAATTGAGTGATTGTGTCCCTTCATCAGTTCTTCAATCAAAGACGCCACAATGTCTCCCATTTATTTCCAAACCCTCTTCTCAATTCCTCCCAAACTAGATTTCTTTCTTGTGTGTGCATGTGTCTCTAGCTTTATGTCCTGCCAGAAAAGGGTTATGGATCTTTTTTTACTTGGGTTGATCTCAGTCGACCTCCCCTCCAGAGATCATTTCCTTATCAGGATCTCTGACAATGTCTCTAGCATCTTATATATTCACCGGTAAGACTGCCAGTGATGATTCTGAAAGCTTGAAGGGCTAAATGAAAAGAAGAATTAGGAGCACAATATGGTTGATTCGACCATAATTATCCTAGATTGATCAGATGCTGTTTTTTTTATTAGAGTTCCTTGTGAACGCTGCGACCGAACCTATAAATGGGTGTTGTGATTAAACAATAACCAAACAAGACTTGAGGAGAAATCAAGAAGGAAACCACAACAATTTGATTATTCCCTTTTTGTTTCTGCAGCACATTATATTCCATTTCCCTTTTAGATGTAGCCATGACTAAGGTTCATAACAGCATCACACATTCACCCTATCACAGGCTACCTTATGTGTTGTTCTTCCTCTTGTGGTCAGAAACTCACAATTATATATTGTTTAGTTCATATTTTTTATTTAGATGAAAATTACTATATAACTTGACTAATAATAGTCTATAGACTATTAGCAGGTTATGAGGTGATTAATTGATTGTGAGATGTCTGACATTTAAGATCTATTTTATGGTTCTTGATAAATCTTAGCCTTTATCGGTTTTTATTGTATTTGGTACTTTGTATCATGCGATCTATACATATGTAAGAAGATGTCGTGAGATTTTTTTATGACTTATAGTAGCATTTTTAAACTATAGTAACAACAATGACTTGTAATAACTCACATGCGAAATATGACTTGTATTAACAAAAATACAACTTCTTACACAAAAGTTGTACTTCCTATCGGTTTTCTTAATCAGTATAACTATCATAAAAATAACCAAAACTCAGCTGAATGTTTTGTCATAGAAGTAGTTAAGTTTTGGTTACTGTTTTATATTTTGTAAATGACAATTTCTGAGGTGATCCTCTCCATATATATATATATATATATATATATATATATATATATATATATATATATATAGACAACTTTTCATGTCCAGCCGGCCTGACGGGAACCGCCGTCCGGCCGAGGGCATTTCGGGCAGTTCCCGGTGGAATTTTTTGATGAAATTTTTTGAGCATGTTCTTCATGAAGTCTAGTTTATCCATACCAAATTTCAGCTAAAAATTCAATCGGGAAGGCATTCAAATAATTTCTTGAAGTTAACTGGGCAGTTCATACATATAAACTGCCCAGTTAACTTCAAAAAATTATTTGAATGCCTTCCCGATCGAGTTTTGAGCTAAAATTTGGTATGGATAAACTAGACTTCATGAAGAACATGGTCAAAAAATTTCATCAAAAAATTCCATCAGGAAGTGCCCTAAATGCCCTCGGCCGGACGGCGGTTCCCGTCAGGCCGGCTGGACAAGAAAAAGACTCTCTCTCTCTCTCTCTCTCTCTATATATATATATATATATATATATATATATATATACACACAAATGTTCAGGTCAGGAGCTCCTGACCGGAACCGCCGTCCGGACCAAGGCGTTTGGACGCCTTCCCGGTGGCTTTGTTTGATGAAATTTTTATGACATGTTCTCCATCAAGTCTAGTTTATCCACACAAAAATTCAGCCAAAAACTCAATCGGGAAGGTCGTCAAATGATTTTTGCAAGTTAACTGGTCCGGAATATGTATTTTCCGGACCAGTTAACTTGCAAAAATCATTTGACGACCTTCCCGGTTGAGTTTTTGGCTGAATTTTTTTGTGGATAAACTAGACTTGATGGAGAACATGTCATAAAAATTTCATCAAAAAAAGCCACCGGGAAGGCGGCGAAACGCCTTGGTCCGGACGGCGGTTCCGGTCAGGAACTCCTGACCGGATCATTACTCTATATATATATATATATATATATCATATTGAGCTTCCTACCAGTTAAATGTCATAATTGCTTTTGCATGGTTACTTGATGAGGAAATGTTAAAAGATGAAGAGTGTTCAGGAAAGGGTATATGTCTTGAAGTCCAGTTCAGGCGGCCCAGTTGTCATATCATCACTAGAACAGCCCAATTATTTTTACCTTAATGGCTTAATGCTATATGGATCAAGCTCATATTTCCAGTTGTGGGTATAAAATTTAATTAGGGGTTGTACACATGTTCTTAGATACATTGAATACACTGCTCCTCTCTGGCATGAATTCTTGGAGACTAGTAATGATATGCTACCAACTGTATGGATACTTGCTTTTTAGTTATTCTATAAACTGTACTTGTGATATTCAGTCTAAATGGATCTTTTATGTTCTGTATATTCCCTCTTCCCACATGCAGTGGTCCAAAGTTTGGTGTGTATAGCCTGAAGACACTACACATAATATTATTAAGGTTGGTCATGTGGGGTTGATTTTGTTACACCTGGGACAGTCCAGATAGTACTCATGGTTGCATCCATTGAATCTAGATTGTTCTAGTGTATAATGTTGAATGATTTTCATGTGCTTTTTCTGGGAAAGAAAGGGGTAGCTTCTGCTCAATGTCACATGTGGAGTATGTAGACCCCGCAATGCATGTCTTTTATTTTCATTTGTTGTTATCAACTTATTTTTATCTAATTATCTTTTTTTTATTGTTCTTATGCTCTTATATTTTTATCCTTTTTATCTGATACGAATTATTTTTTATCATTTTTATCTTATCACTTTTATCTATATCTTATCTTTATCTTTACCGTATTTTTATTTTATCAATATCTATATCATATTTTTATCTTATCTTATCTTATCTTTTTATCTTTCTTATCTCTCTTACTAGCTCCGATTCTATGTGTGGATTAATGTTAGCCGACCCCAAATTCTCTTGGAACTAAAACTTGAATATTGTTATAAATTTATCATCATCATTACCATCACCCATTCACCCTAGTTAGAATTGCTTTAGTATGGGTGACATATATTTAGTGTTATTTAACACTACACTAAATATTAGTAGTAGATATTAGTCTATAGTATGAGCTAGCTGTTTAAATTAAGTTAACTCTGGAATTTCGATATCACATGTCGGAATTAATAAAAATGCCATAAATTTTCAGAGAAAAGTACTGGGACGGAGGGACTAATAATTATCCAAATGGAAGATAGGCTTCCATGTATGGAAGCTGAACCAAAGATGAGAACTTTGTTCAACCAAAGTCAACTCAGGGACCCCATCTCTGCACTCTGCAGTGATAGACTATGTCTTGTTGCTGTCTGTTATGAGGAAGTGAATCTTGAATTATATACACAGCTCTTGGTTTTCATGTTTAGAAAGTATACATCAGTGCATGTGATCTGATCTGATCCTCTTGTGAGCTTTGAGAGATGAATCCAAATATGATTGTGAAACTGTAGTGTACCAGAGAGCTGCAGTGAAAAGGTGACAAGACAAGCAGATTTCTTGTATCTTACTGCTGCCTCCCCACTCTTGTGCAGACATAAAAAACCATGTTTGATTTGGCCAAGAAGGGATCATGCAATCCTAGGGCTCTCCTACCAAACAACCACTGAATTGATTAGGTTTTGTTTGTACTTTGGGAAGGAAGCTGCTGGGATGGCACTGCTCCTTGAGACTTACTTCAATTTGGATGCATATGTATCACTATTAGCCTGCTTGCTAGTAGCTTTGTGACCGTTATTGTCATTGTATGTTAGTTATGAATGCATGGGGAAAGAACATTTTGATTTTTCTTGGGAAAGGAATGTGCAAGAAATAACCAATTTTTATTCCATTTTGTTGGTGAAAGTGAACTGAGTGTATATAGATACAGCCATATAGATGTAACATGCTTCTATTCCTTAAGTCGATGTGATTGGGCCGTTCTAGTATGATCCTTTTAATACAATCGTGCACATTACACATATGATCTTCAATGTTAAAACGAGAACGGTGCATACATGGCATGAGTGATAGCCAATTAAAAAATAATAAATAGAATATCTCTTTCCTTATTTGAAGGATCTTGCATCAGTAAGTTTTTCTTCACAATGTCAAATACAATGTCTACGTGTAGAGATTGTGCTTAACATTGGAGTAAAAAACTTACCAAAAATACATAAAATCGTGAAAAGAATGAGAGAGAAATGTTATAGATTCAATTTTTTGTGTCTATCTCTCTC